GATCAAAGTAACTTTGTTCCGGGAACCGAGGCATTCTAGGGTACTTATACAGTTCCAAACCAGCTTTAAGTAAACTCGATTGGAGCTCAGGGCCTTAAGGGCTGCATGGCTATCTGAAAAGATCTTTATAGTCTTGTTTTCGGGGAGAAAATTGATCAACTCTCTCGCTCCCAATTCTATAGCAATCATTTCTGCTTGGAAGATCGTGCCAGAGAGCCTAGATTTATTGATATGTCAACTCTAGGCCTCTGGCCGAAAACTCCCGCGCCTACTCCTTTTTCAGTTTTGGAGCCGTCCGTGCTTCGCCATAACTGGAGCAATGTCAACCACACCACAGAAGAATGAACAATATTATCCTGTGACCACACCTACAGGAGCCATAGAGATCATGCTGGACCTAACCCCTTTCCACATTCTGCAGGAAAGGGAGGCCAGGATGGTCTCCTACAGGCTCCTGAAGGTGGGTAGTCAATGTTACGAAGAACTGCGATGGGACAAGACGGGGCTGATGAGTGAAATTAATAACTACCTCATCCTCGGCATGGTCTCGGACTCGCTAGTTCCCCGACAGCACAGAAAATCCATACAGCGTCCTCATTTCAGAGAAAAACGCATGGAGCAGAGGGGAAAAACCCTCTCCCAGGCAGACTATGCGTTGTAGTCTATGCCTGTTATAGCTTGTTAGTTTTCAAGAAAGTGAGTTATTTTGTCGTGTATTTAGTGAAAGTGGATCAGTATTTTCGATTATTTTGTGCAGATTTTGGATAGAAAATAGGAACCCAAACCAAATTATTACTGGGTTGTACAAAATTAACACAATCAATTCCAAATAAAACAATTTCTATTCAAAAAATATGAATAGTATGAACTAGTTTCGGCCTTAGGCCATCATCAGTTCTACAAAGTGAAAACAATGGTATTAATGTAGTATGTGTGAAAGTTGGTAGAATTAAGTACATACCTAAAAAATATAGTATAATGACAGTACAAATTGAGACTTCTCTAAATACATAAAACAGAGTAGTTAAGGTGAAAACAGCACCCGTTATAATTTTCGGAAAAGCATATCTCATAGTGATTTTTTAAAAAACTAAAATTTTGGCTAAATAAATAAGGTAATAATATCTAGAATATGCATATATTTTAAAGTTTTAATTCCTTCCCGTTTTTAAGAAAAAAATCAAAGGGCTTTAAATTTTGAAATATCATAATGAAAACAAATATATTCATCAACAGCACTATTCTTAATATAATCCCCAAATTTAAGCTCTTAATCTCTTGTTAATTAATTTTTAAATTAGCCGAAATTAGTGGCTAAAACGCCTCGTTAAGTACTGCTTTCTGGTGTAACGCGTCTGTAACTAATGTGTCATACACTCTGAGTTATCATTCGTTTTTTGCAACGATTTACACCAGTTTTCACCAGAAAATAGCACTTAAAGGAGGCGCTTTAGCCACTAATTACGGCGAATTTAAAAAAATCATTAACAAAAGAGATTAGGAGCTTAAATTTGGGGATTATATTAAGAATAAAGCTGTTGAGGAATGCATTTATTTTCATTAAGATATTTCAAAATTTAAAGCCATTTGATTTTTTTCTTGGAAACTGAAAGGAATTAAAACTTTAAAATACATGCAAATTTTAGATATTATTGCCTCATTTATTTTGTCAAAATTTTAATTTTTTAAAAAAATCACTTTTTGAGATATGCTTGTCCGAAAATTATAAGGGGTGCTGTAATCACCTTAAGTATCAGCTACCGATAAACTCTCAAGAGGCAGGGAGTAACTAAGTACCAGATGTGGGAAAAAGAGGATAAGAACTTATAACTAGCTTGAGAAAAAAAATTGATGATAGCAAAATTTAAGTAAAAATTGTGTTGCAGATATATCTAACAAATATTGGGTGCTCTATGGGTTGCGAGCTCTGGGAAATCCGATTCAAGATATTCAATTTCACCCAAAGAAGAGTAAAAAAATGTTATAGGCCCATTGCTCTATTCAGAATATGGCCAATTCGTTAGTGGGCCAAAGTGAAAGGCAAAAACGAAACCAGCCACTACTGGTGGATCACAACGAGCGAAAATGGGTGCGAAGGGGCATCTTGGATGAGAAAAAAGTACATTTTCTAATTATTCGACGGTGATTAACTTTCACTTAGTATTTGGAACATATGAAGCGTTGAAAATACAGCAGATGTATTATTTTAAACAATTTTTGATGAAAAATTTAATATATAGATGTAAACGTAATTACGATGATAAAATTTATTTTTATCTATAGACAACAATGAACCAATGAGGAAATTAAAAATGAAGAACAAGCTAAGGATGAAAAAGATGTAGAGCACACTGAAGAAGAAATAACTATAGATAGTTCTGACGAGAGCGAAGATACCGATTATTAATACGGCGACAGACAAACATTATTATTTAAAAATTTTATTTTCAAATTAATTTTAGTCATAAATAAAATTTGCAGCATTTCTTCATTTATAAATTATATAAAATGATAATTCATCATCGCATAAAAAACCAGACGATTAAAAAGAAAACAATAAAAATGTAAAAAAATTAAAGTATCGAAATATTGGTCAGAACAAATTTATTATAGTTTATATTCAATATTTTAAATACTTAATTTGATAAAACAAATCATCAGTTGGTGATATAATAGATGAAAGATCGTCAGATAGTAATCAAGAACTTCAATTAATTACTGTTAATATAAACAAGGATAAAAACGCAAAATATTGGTCAAAATGATTTTATAATAGTTATAACTTTTATACTTAACAGGAATAAGGTTATCCATATATCAAATATGGTATATTCGTAAAGAAAAGAAACACTCTTGACCACAACTTTTTTTATTTATTATTAAAAACAGGGAGAAGCGACTAATTTTGATCAGTGACTATCATCAGGCATGTAAGAGAGTATGTTGATGTAGCGTAATTTGATTATAAGTGAAAACATTTTTTGACCAATTAATGGGTTAATGATACAGGAGAATTAAAAATTTAAAAATTAAAATGTGATAAGACGATCCTAATATTAACTTTGTACACAAAGAGCTGACATAGACTACAACAATGTTTAAAGTGTTAACCAGTCAATGACAATGAAGAAAATAGTGAAAAAATTGTTTAAAAAATATTGAGTAAGTTGATAAACAAATATCTTTAAAATGAAATTTGAAATAGTTATGGCAATCTATAGTCTAATATTAACAAGACAAGTGAAGCAATAAAAGCTATCACAAATGACAGCGGACACTAGAAAATTAGTGAGGCCATAATATAACTGAGTAAGGTATTAACGTAATGTTAAAATGCAATTTGACAATTTAAAACCAAATTTATTAATAATTAACACTATATCAACACAAACACATATCAATAGATAGGAATACTTCGCCAACACGCCCTGTATAATAACCATTTCTTTTCATTTGCTGAAAATGTAAAACTTATTCATAATTGACTTACTTGAGATGTTTGAGATCAATAGAGCTACTACTAACTCAACGGTTATTTGTTTAAACGAACAAATTCAACCCAAAGAACGTTAAATTTTCCCATCACTCCCCTTTTAATTCTGTTTTCTCTTTTTTCCTGCCTTAATTATAGATTCTTATCAATTCTTTTACTGTTATTTCATCAATGTTTATTATTACATTTTAGGTTATTTTTCATCTTGACTGTTATCAGTTAAATATTTTCATTTCTTCTAGATTGTGTAAGTAAGTTGATACATTAATAGTTATATTATGACCTCGATAATTTTTTAATGTTTCTCAATATTTGTCAAATAATTTTTTCACCTTTTTCACATTGCCATTGATGGTTAAATACTTTCAACATTTTTATTGTCAGCTCTTTAAGTACTCAGTATTCTGATGGTCTTATCACATTTTAATTTTTAAATTAACTCAATTTATTGTACTCTATTACATACCTGATGATGGTAATTGACCAAAACTAGTCGCATCGCTCTGTTTTCAATAATAAATAAAAATTTTGTGGTAAATACTTACAGGTTTTCCTTTCCTATATATTTAATGGTTTAAATAATTAAATTTATAAAACGATTCGTCAGCTGGTGATATAATGGGGGATATATCGTGAATCATTTTAATTAATTAAATCATCTTGAGAGGTTGAAATTCCATGCGCGCTCGATACTTTTAGCCCCCCCCCCCCAGCTGACGGTCTTAGCTCCACTAGCACAGCTAATTGTAATTTCCGTTGTTCTTTTGATATGATAAACACGCAGTATAAATTTCATGACTAATAAAATAAGTTTGTATCCTTACATTTTATTACAGATTTACAAGGGTAACTGACGAATAATCCAAAGTGGCTGATTGTTATTTTGTATTATATAAACATTAGTCCTACAAATTTTTGAGTTTGATGAAATTATTATTCTATTATTAATATTATTATTTTTATTTTACATATTTCGAATGTTCCCACAATCAATTACACCACTACTGATAAAGTGATTTTTCATTTGGAACGCTGCCTCCTGATCTATAATATTTAAAATCTATTTTAAAATAAATAGTTTCTGAATATTTTTTGTTATAGAATTACGCTGTGTGTAGTATGCCAATGTAGACGAAAAAGGTTTGAAATAAATTGAGGACGAAACTCGTTTGAGGACGAAACTCGTTTAAGGACGAAAATGTAATGATTAATTAATAAAAATAAATAATGTATAAATACTTTTTATTGTAGTTTTTAGATTAGTAGAGGAAAAAATAAAATTGACGTTTAACTAAAAAACTACATTGTATGAATTATAATTTAGAACATTTCTTTCACAAAAGCTTACCCAAAAAGAGATTATTCAAGTTCAGATTTTTCCAAAAAATATTTTCCGACAACTAGTAGATATTAAGGTTCTATAAACAATGTAATGAAACAATGATATTCTTCGTTTTTTTTTCTAGACGTAGCTAAAATTCTGAAAAAAATAAATAAAAACTGCGACGATACTCACCAAGTCGGAAACGAGTGGTATGGACTTTCTTCTGATTGGTCGAATATCAGGCATACTGTCGATGTTGCTGTAGAAGGGATTGTCACCTGGATGTCTGAAAAAAATAACGAATAATTTTAGTTGTAAAATTTAAAATAGCAAATTAATTGTAAAAGTAATTTTTTTTAAATAAGAGTTATTTCTAGCTAGGTTGCCTGTCTTACTCAAATTTTATAAGAACTATGCTTAGTTATTTTTTTAACTACCCGTTTTTAGATGTTTTTAAAGAGTTTAAAGTAAAGTGTTGTGTGTTCTTCAGAAATGTTATTGGGACAATTAAAGAACTATAAAATGTCTAATTGTGCCGTGGCTACGTGTAAAAACTACAGCAAAATTACAAAGGGAACGGACATAAAATATTTTAGATTTCCCAAGAATGATTATCTAGCTAAGAAGGGACAATAAACTTAAAAAATGATAAGTGTAGAAGCTTTTATTTGAATAATAAAAAAATTTGATTCATATTTATTAATATTCAATGTCAATGGTTATGTAAAAGGCTGATTCGGTTGCATAAACATAAATTTCATGTTCGTATATTATGACTAGATGTTTTTTTGCAGCTCGTATTTGCTCTATACACTTTGAAGTCTCCTGTTTCGAAGTGTCGCTGCAACAGAGATTGTTGGGATACAAGCCCATACGTAGCCGACATTTGAAACTTGATGCTGTGCCCACACTTAGCATTCCTAAATTTCCCGCAGCAATCCAGAAAAGGCAATATAAAGAACGTGATATGCGATCAGCTAAAAGAAGACAGCGGGTTGAAGCAACAGGAGTTTTAAAAGCAATTGAAGCTGCTAGTGTTTCTCAACAAGAGCTTACCTACACAGATACTTCTCCCAAAGAGAACATGGATCATGACATCACTATGCGGATGATGGATATGGAAAACCATGTTCAATCCGAGTCAATAGATGAGTGCGTATAATTTTATTTATTAATATTTGTAATAAATATCATTGTTAACACGGAATTAATAATTATACCTGTTTATTTTAGAAAAAATGAAAAGGAAATGGGTTGGCAATATTGATATAAATCAAGAAATTCTGAAAACGGTTATATCATTATTACAGAAAAAAGCCTTGGATTTAAGGCCTGTTAACCGAATATGCGTACTCACGTTTGATGAAGTTTATATTTCGAATAAAATTGAAATAGATAAAAAACAGGAGCAGGCCATAAGGCCATATAAAAGTTGCCAAACAGTGGATACGAGGTCTATTTGCACAAAGGAAACAGCCAGTTTATTACCAGTTTGATCAACCGATGATTAAACAAATTCTTTATGAAATACTTTCAGAATTGTACCAAGCAAAGTTTACTGTAGTTGCAATTACCAGTGATATGGGTACAGGAAATACTGCTTTGTGGAAATCATTATCAATTGGGTATGACAAAAGTTGCTTTTTTGCGCATCCTTCTAATAATACACTGAAAATTTTTGTGTATGCAGATGTTCCGCATTTGATAAAGCTTGCTCGAAATCATTTGATTGATCATGGTTTTGAAGTGGAAGGTGATATAATAAATAGAGATTACTTCGAAGCTTTATAAACTGTTTCTACATCAGAATTAACATTGGCACATAAATTGACGCAACAACACATTAATATCAAAGGATCTATGCGGCAAAGAGTTCATCCTGCAGTTCAAGTTTTCTCAAACTCCGTGGCAAAGGCAATAAGGTATGCAGGAGAGAATGACCTTATGCCTAAAAACAGTAAATGGGAGAGAGCTTCAGAAATTGTTCAGTTATTTAATGACTGGTTTGACTTAATGAACTCACGGTCTAAATTTTGTAGCAATTGTCCAGGACGAAATGCCTTTGGCATTGATATTTATAATCAAGAATATCTGTTGAACAAAATGTCAGAAGGTATTAGTGTAATGAAAATAGGTAAGCATAAGGGCTTAATTCCATTTCAAAAAGGTATCTTACTAACAAACAAGTCATTAATAGGAATGTTCAATTACTTAAAAAATACATATGATGTGGAATATATATTAACGTCCCGCTTAAACCAAGATGTCCTTGAACATTTTTTTGCATATATTCGAGGCATGGGGGTGCAAACGATCATCCAACTCCTTTAGGTTTTAAATATAGATTAAGATGGTATATTGTGGACAAAGTGAAACAAGTGATATATCACACAAAGACATGTGTTTAACACAACAAATGTTTTCTAGCGTCGTAATAAAATTTACTTCAGTTGAAAATGATTGTGACGTAGAACAAAGCATTTCTGATTCGTTTATAGAGCCTTTGTATTTAGAGGAAGAAATACTTGATGCAGAAATTTCATCGTTGATTCAAACATACGAAATTAAAGAGAAAATTCACCTGGATTGTTTAAAGTATACTGCTGATTTTCTGGCATACAAATTTAGAGATAAATATGACTTGGGAATTCCTACAAAAAAACTAGACCCAAATAGAGCCCTAGATTGGCGAGATGATTTCTTCTCCATCCAAACCGCGAATTATGGGAAGTAGCGCAGATTCTCGATGCAAAGTTTTACGTAATGAATGGAACCTCTATATCTAAGAACAAACATATTTTTCAAGAATTGGCTCAAAAAACAGTGTCGAAAATAGAAAACAATTCAGTTTCATACGAAATAATTCTCTGCCTTAGTAGAACTCGAACGTATATTAGGTTACGAGACATGAATAGAAAAATAAGTTTTATGAACTGCCAAAAAAAAACTAGACAGGAAAATGTCGAAATTTACAAATTTCAAAAAGTAAATAATAAGACTGTTCATACAAAAAGTAACGTAATACGTTAATATAAATAATATTTTAATTTTTGATAGGTTTACAAAAAAAGTTTTAAACAAAAGTTTTATTAAAGTTATCAGAAAACGTCCATCAGAAATATACTGGTTGCACCATTAGTTTAAAATAATGCACAGATATGTTTTTTAAATGGTACACCCTGAATATTTTTTGAGTATTTCAAACTCTAAAAAATTCAAAAATAACCGTTAAAACTGTATAATGTTAATTTTATTAGTTCAAAAGTTATATTCATTTAAAAAGGGTATATTACAGAAACATTTTTATTACCAAAATAATCAACCAAACAAATATTTTATTAATTTTATTTAATTAAATGCTTTTAGTGTCTTCCTTGTTCTAATCATTTGGCAGTATCCAATACTGTTGTAAAATATTAGCCAGTTACGTTACTTTCTGCACACACTGTATGTATGTTTACTGTGCTCCACTGTATAGGGAATCTGATGTGATAGGAAGATGTACACCTTGGAATAAAATCGACCTGTATTTACATATTTTTGGAAAAATCTCCTCCAAAATTATCTGAGATAAATCCGTCAAAAGACCTTAATCACCCTGTACACTGGTTTTACTCGAATCTTGTTCGTTCTAATTGTGTATTATTGTTTGGCGTTCTTTATTATAGATTTTTGTAAGATGCCTGCATTTTTTTAAAATAAAGTGTCTTTGCTCATTGTGTCTTATCCACAAACTTTATTAATAAAGTAATATTACAGTTTTTTATTATCGAAAACTTCTCGTTACTTGTATTTATTTAAGCAGATGCCTCGGATTGATATACCTAGTGACGTCATATCGTGTGACAAGGATAGAGCTAACATGCGTAGGAGCATACCGGTGTATGTGTACCGTGATTTTGTCCAAATGATGTTCTGGATATCCATGAACTTTATACGGATGTCCATTGAACATCCTTTTTAGTTATTTCAATGGATAAACCTATTCAGTATATAAAAATGAAAAAAGTTACTTGATTTTACTTAAAATTTTGAAGATTAATAAGTATATAATTAACTTAAAATTATGTTTGTCTTACAATACCGATATGTTATATAACTATATTTAATATTATAATTTTTATTGTATATTATAGAATTTTTAAAATACATTTTCATTAAAATAAATTGATTACTTAGTTCTTTTCCTCTTTTATAACAAGCTGATAATATACTAACTACAAGGTCACCCACATGCAAAGAAATAGGAAAGAAGCATTTTTTACATATTTTTTTCATTTAATTCTTAAGATTTAATCATGAAAACGGTTGTTCGAATTCTTTGAACCACTCGAGTAACAAAACATTTTATTGTTAATAATTCGGTTGTAAATTAATTTCGCAACTTAAAGGATTCTTCGGCTTTGTATTTCAAATCCCGACTGGACTACAATTGAGAGAGTAATTCCTAGTACTACAAATCCTTGAAAAATGTTACAAAATTGCATTTCTCTGAAAAGTGACATGTGCTTTGAAAGTGCGATCGCTTTCTCTGCCCATCAAGGAGGTACCTTAAAAACGTCTCTAAGGGTAGTTAGTTTTCAGACTTCAGTTGTGAAGAGTCGCTTTTAGTTTTAATTTCTGTAAATAGTATGATGATGGTTTAATGCAAATTAATTGTAAATGTTCCTTAACGCCGTAAAGTTAAGGTGGTCCTTCGATGTAATAGAGTTTTGAAAGTTTAATCTGGTGTGTTTTTCATTCTAATAAATATTATTTCTCACAAAACGAACCAGTCAATAATTACCGACTATGGAAGATACATGGTGATATGGTCGTGGATTAGTAGTTTCGAATTTCAAGAATCTACAATCTTTCATTTTGGCCCTTCGAGCCGGATAACGAAAACAATATTTAGAAGTTCTAAGTTCAATCACAAAATTTATAACTGTTTTACATTTGAAGGTTAAGCATACCAAGTTATGTTTTAACTGTTTGGCATACAACCATTCAGTTAACAAATGCACTTCTCGAGGATGTTCACTATACAAAAATAAACATACAGTTTTACATCAAGGCAGACACACTGTACAAAATATGTCAGACAATACAAATTCCTATCATATTAATAAGTCTAATTTCAAAGGTTCTCCACATTTTCAAAGATATACTTCATATGCAAATAATTCTCGGAATAATTTACAAGCAAATGCTAGTAATTCAAAAGAAAATTCTCAAAATTTTAGTTCCTCTTATCTACAACAAGATTCCAGTTCAAATAATTTAGCAACTTTTAATTCCGGTAGACAAAGACAAAATGAGCCTAGCACTTCTAAAGTAAATTTCCAAACTCAATTCCGCACCCATAATGAATAAAATATGGAAACTTCTCATACAAATAATTCTAGCACAGTAATGTCTATCTTATCTTTAAGTGGCGAAGCATTGCTAGCCACAGTAATGGTGACTGTTTTTACTGCTGAAGACACACCTCTTCAGGCAAAGGCTGTACTAGATCCGTGCAGTACAACTTCGTTGATCACTGAAAAATTAGCTGACAAACTTCACCTCACTCCTAACTTAAGAAACATTCAAATAACAGGTGTTGACGGCATAATGACAAATTCGACTAAAACTTTAAAAGTCAATGTTCGTTCAAATATTCGGAAAAATATTCAATTCAGTGTAACTTCCGTTTTAAAGAAAATAACCCAGAAATTGCCCCAATTGTCTCTAAGACGGGAGAACATTTCCATTCCCAAAAATATTCAACTAGCTGATCTCAAGTTCCATGCCATGTCTAAAGTTTATATTTTATTAGGTGCCGATGTATATTATAATTTGTTAACAGTGTTATACAAATTCAAAAAAAACTTTTTGACTTTGGTTGAAACATCTTTGGGCTTTATAATAAGAGGTTCTATATTTTTTCAAGAAGCCATTTCTTATAAATCAAATCCTAAAATATCCATAACAAATACTCATTTATTCTGACTAGCACCGGATTCTCAAGATATTCTGCAAAGATTTTTGGAAATTGAAGAAATTTCTAATCATAAGAAATTTTTAACTCTTGATGAAATTTTAGCTGAAAAACTATTTAATAATATTAAAATTCTTCGGTTATTTTCAGGTAAATCTTCCATTAAAAAACCCCGTGCATATTTAAAACTAGGCGATTCTTTTTCATTAGCAAATATGAGATATTTTAATTTAAAGCGGTTTCAATGCAATCCTGATTTATTCCAGCAATACAAAGCTTTTATTAACGAGTATATTTCTTTAAACCTTTAGTTTTAAAAAATGAACTTCATGAAAATAAATATTTCCTCCCACATCATTGTGTACTGAGAGAAGATAGTGGTAGTACAAAATAAAGAGTAGTGTTTGGCGCTAGCATGAAAAGTTCTTTTGGTGTATCCCTAAATAACATATTGTTAAAAGGCTTTCCAGTCCAGCCAGAATGGTTCGACATTCTCGCTCGTTTTAGACTTTTTTCTTTTGTTTTTACTTGTGATATAGAAAAACTGTGCAGAATGATTCAAATAAATCCTAATCAAACTTTCTTACCAAATATTTTGTGGCGAGAAAGTCCTCAACATGATCTAAAATGTATAGAACTTGAGACTATTACTTTTGGTACGAATAGTGCTCCTTATTTAGCCACTCGTATCCTAAACGAACTTGCTTTGACTAATAAAGAAAAATTTTCCTTAGGCGCAGATGCGTTACTTACCCAATGCTATGTTGATGATATTTTGTATGGTAGCGATTCTTCAGAAAAATTAGAAGAAACTCAAAAACAATTAGTACAATTATTAAATTCCGCGAATTTCGATCTTCATAAATGGAGTTCAAATGATATACAATTCCTGAAAAATGTTTTAAAAAATGGTTGCCAAGAAAATTTCGATATAAAAACAGAAAATTTGTCGAACAAAATTTTAGGCATTTCCTGAGATCCTCATTCCGATAAATTTGCAATTGTTCTCCTAAAAAATAATAATAATGGTTCCATAACTAAAAGGTCGGTTTTATCACAAATAGCTCAAATGTTTGACCCATTAGATTTAGTTAATCCTATAGTAGTAGCAAAAATTCTTATGCAAAATATCTGGTTGTCAAAAATAGACTGGGATGATAATTTAACTCCTGAACTTTCTAATCAGTGGCACGATTTTATTCATAAAATTCCTCAACTTTCTTGTTTAATAGTTTTGTGCTGGTTACAAGCTCATCCTTCAAAGTGAACCATTTTCGTGTCCAATAGGGTTTAACTTCTAAATTCCAGTGACATCACACAAAAACACAAAATAATCCAGCTGATTTCTTTTCTAGGGAAATGACTTCTGTAGAAATAATAAACTCTTTTCTTTGGTGGCATGGGCCGTCAATTCTTTTAAATCTTGATTCCAACAAAATAAATTTAAAAACGATTCCGGAGACAAGGAAAAGTAGCACTGTCCTTTATAATACTAAGCTCGGTTCAGTTGTTTCATTTTGGCAACCACTCCTTTTAAGATATTCCTGATTTATAAAATTGAAACGAGTTCTAGCTTATATTTTGTAAGATTTGTAAATAATAGCAACAAGCATTCAGAGAAATTTTCTGGTACACTAACAGTGGAAGAACTGCATACAGCAGAATTTCTGATTAATAAATATCTTCAACAAGAAAATTTCTACCGAGAAATTTCTGACTTAAATTCGAATAAAACAATTGCTAATAAACCCATATTGCATTTTATCTTCATTTGTAGAAGATTCTGGTCTTCTACGAGTAGGAGGTCGTTTAGCTTATGCACAATTACCCTATATTCAAAGACATCCAATTCTGTAACCCTCTAAAAATTTCTTTACTACGCTCATGTTAAAATATGAATATTTAAGGTTAGGACATGCAGGTGCGCAAACTGTATTGTCAAATTTCCGTTTAAGATATTGGCCGTTAAATGGGATCATAAAAACAAAACGCATAATCCGATATTGCATAACGTGTCATAGGTACAAGGCAAAATCTTCTCAATAACCCATGTCGGACCTACCCCCAGTAAGAACAACTTCTTCTAGACCATTTTCCAAAGTCGGCGTAGATTTCGGTGGTCCGTTCCTAATAAAAACGTCATCATTCAGTAAAATGTTACGTCGCAGTGTTTGTCTTTATGATTTCCAAAGCTGTACATATCGAATTAGTTTTAAGTTTATTAACACAATGCTTTCTCTTAACATTAAAAAGAGTTATATCTCGGCGAGGAAATCCGTCACACTTCGCCTGAAGCACAAACAGGTGGACTCAAAATGCCGTTGAAAACGAAAAACGGCGTTTTGTTGGCGGTTAATAGTACATTAAAAGCCCTCTTGAATGAAAATCGTAGCTGATCCTTTTATCAAGATACGTGGATTTTCAGTGGTGTCCCCTGTAGACCTAATCCACTGCGAAAATAAAAATGAAAACGAAAATAAAAATAATAATGAAATGATAACTAACTACGGCATGTTTTTATAAATGTTGTAAAGAAAAAGTGACTACCGCTTTTTTTAAACAGCTGGAATATGATGAATCATGTATGAAATTTAATTTGAATATTTCCCAAAATTTCCAAAATTCTCTGTGAACAGATTCCCCGGCCTGTTCTGACCACAAACCCAAACCATCGTTGTTTGATAATGAAATGCCCTCTTCCAAGTGATCAAGTATAATGTGCATTTTTAGAGTTTGAGATGTCTCAGTACTTTCTAGATCTTTGCGGAGTTTTTCCAAGTTCTCATCTAAATCGGTAATATCTGCACGATGCGTCTTAAAAGCAGCGACGTATGGCTGTAACTTGACGGACCAACATGTTCGTAAATTTCAGGATCAAGCAATTTATCCGATTCTTGCAGAAGTTTTCGGCAGGCATTACCCTCAAAAATTTCACCCTGATAATTTTTTGCTACAAACTTCAATTTTGATGGCCAAATCAGAGCCTTCTCACGTCCTACAGCAGGAACTATGCCATTCCAGAATAGGTGGTTTGTAAATCCTTGTAACAGATGAAGTTCAGGCAAAACACATTTCTGAAGAACGTACACGTTCATGTCATCTTCTGCTTCATCATTGACGACATCTTTATACTCCGATTCTTTTTCATAAAAAAAGAGAGGCATATTGACTGTACTGTGGGATTCCTTAGCATACTTTTTATCTTTGCCAAAACATTTAAATTTATTGTAATCATCTTTTAAATTTTTGAATGTTTTCACAATTATATTATCGTCAATTTCCATAGATTCCTCTTTATCGGCATCAACAGTCACTTTTCCAAAAGTGTGCAATTCGCTTAAAGTGATGAAATAGTAAGGGCAAGGATACGTTGATGTTGCAGTTTGCTGTCCATTAATCATTAGTATAAGTTTCAAGTCAGAACAGAATTTGAAGGGTATCTTCGTTGACCTTTGTCAATTCAAATAAGGTCTTTACATTTTCGTAAGTTTCCTTTATTTGAGGAACAATTAATATAATTAATCTGTAAATTCTGTTTCTTGGACATAGTCCCACCAGTGAAGTATCGAGTTCTTCTACTTTCATTGAAATATGAATCGCATTCTTCTTCTTCTTCTTCTTCTGTCAAAACTGATATACATAATTTGAAAAAGCCTTGCCCCCATCTGCCATCAATTTTATTTTAGCATTCTGGATTTCTTTAACATTCCGTCTCTCAAATATTGCGTTAATAAGATTTGTTGTATTAGCATATACAACAGGTCTATTAACCATACCTTCTTTGGCTTCAAAAGGGCAAATAGCGTTTTCATAAATATCTTTCACTGAATTAGATTTTTCACGCATATGTTGTTTATAATTTTTTGGAATAGATTTTCTTCCGGCAAAACTTCTAATGAAATTGGTCATTTTATTCATCTGATTTTGAGGTGCTCCAGTAGTCGATTGGAATTTGTCTAAACCTTCACTAGTAAAAACGATTTCCTTTTGGATTATTTTATTCAAAGTTACCCTCATTTTTTACCCTGTTGTATTTAAAATAATATCACCATCAATCGTACTTTCATCAGACCTTCTTTTTTTTAATCGATGGTATTATTTGGTTTTGTTGCTTTTCTGGTAATCTTTCTGCTAAACTCAAGACGTTTTCACAAACACTAGATGAAGAAGGACCTGCGCCACAAGAATGACACAAACCTTTGCCAATTTTCTGAAAACACTAATTTCAAATGTTACTTTGTCCACTTGTAGACGGAAGATTGGGATTTGAAGCAGCTCCATAAAGACCACAATTTTGATCTATTATAGTATCAAAAGTACGTACATTACCTTTACCCTTAACTATTTTAGAATGACCTCTGAATCGTGTCGTTAAACATATAGAACAATTGCAATCAGAAGCTGTCCTGGTTCTAGTTTCTTTTGCTAAATGCATGTCCTCATATTTAGGCATTGTTGGAAGTGGCCTGTTTAGATTACCCTTCTCTCGTTCCATTATAGTTCTTCGACAAGTACTACAAATGCTAACAGAAAATTTAGAATTAGACAGGTCAAACTGATGGTTTATATGCTGTTTAATTAAACCAGTAAGATTTTCAGTAATTGAAAATTCCGATCTTCGACGATTGGCAACAACAAATTTTTTACCACATGGTGCACATACCTTCAACCTATTCTTTTCGTGATCGCATTTATGATCTAAGTGAGTTGATAGGATATTTTTTTCCATGATCTTGGAGACCAGAGATAACAAGATTTTTCAAAAGAATACTTGTTACTAATAGGGAGCGGCTATGAAATGAAAATTCATTTATGATCTACAGATTCGATTTTCTATTGCGCGGGAGTGCCCGGTGTGTACCATGCGCTGCATATCGGTGTTTTTTATAACTAATTTTCTGTTATTTGATTGATCGATAGAGCGAGCTTGGCGCTTGATCACGTATTTGGACACGAACAAAAACACATACACACACACACACACACACACACACACACACACACACACACACACACACACACACACACACACACACACACACACACACACACACACACACACACACACACACACACACACACACACACACACACACACACACACACACACACACACACACACACACACACACACACACACACACACACACACACACACACACACACACACACACACACACACACACACACACACACACACACACACACACACACACACACACACACACACACACACACACACACACACACACACACACACACACACACACACACACACACACACACACACACACACACACACACACACACACACACACACACACACACACACACACACACACACACACACACACACACACACACACACACACACACACACACACACACACACACACACACACACACACACACACACACACACACACACACACACACACACACACACACACACACACACACACACACACACACACACACACACACACACACACACACACACACACACACACACACACACACACACACACACACACACACACACACACACACACACACACACACACACACACACACACACACACACACACACACACACACACACACACACACACACACACACACACACACACACACACACACACACACACACACACACACACACACACACACACACACACACACACACACACACACACACACACACACACACACACACACACACACACACACACACACACACACACACACACACACACACACACACACACACACACACACACACACACACACACACACACACACACACACACACACACACACACACACACACACACACACACACACACACACACACACACACACACACACACACACTTGCATGCTTAAATAATAGTACCGCCAAGAAACAATATCGCTCAATCATGGTGAAAAATTACGAAAAAGCGGAAATCCACCAATCTTGAAAAAAGGATTAGCTAGGATTTTCATTCAAGCGGGCTTTTAATGCACTATTAACTGCCCACAAAACGCCGTTTTTTGTTTTCATTGGCATTTTGGGTCAACCTGTTTGTGCTTCAGGCGAAGTGTGCGTCGATCATATTTAGCGACAACGCTACAAATTTCCTAGGATCTAGAAACCAATTGAAAGAGTTATATTATTTTTTCCAAGACAAGCAAAATATCAATTCCATAGAAAACTTCCTAACGTCTAAGCAAATAACAAAGAAATTTATCCCTCCTTCAAATCCCCACTGGGGCGGAATTTGGAAAACGGCAATTAAAAGTACAAAATACAACTTGCACCGAATAGCAGGAGATTCTAAATTTACATTTGAAGAACTTAACACTATTCTGGTCCAAATTGAAGCCATTTTAAATTCTCGTCCTCTTAAATCATTATCGAGTGATGCAAATGACTTGTCTTGTCTAACTGCTAGACATTTCCTAATAAGTGACAGTTTTACTTCCTTTCCAGAAAAAGATATCTGCGACATTCCTGAAACTCGTCTGTCACATTATCAAAGATGTATTCGGGTCCAGCAAAATTTTTAGAAACGTTGGACAAAGGAGTATCTTAATCAACTTTAGAATCGACCAAAATGGCTTAAACCATTTAAAAGTAAATGATATCGGTAAAGAATGACAATACTCGCCCTTTAGTGTGGTTATTGTATTGCATATTATTTATTCATTTATAGAGCATACAGTTACTTTGCATTATTAGTCCTAACACTATGATTGATTTTCTATTAAAATAAAAATTTTGATTTTTCATTTGAAGCTAAACAGCTTCAACGTGGGGAAGTGTGTTCGAATTATTTGACCCACTCGAGTAATAAAACATTTCATTGTAAATAATTCGGTTGTAAATTAATGTCGCAACATAAAGAATTCTTCGGCTTTGTATTTCAAATTCCGACTGGACTACAGTTAAGAGAGTAATTCCTAGTACTACAAATTGCATTTTTCTAAAAAGTGACATGTGCTTTGAAAGTGCGATCGCTTTCCCTGCCCATCCATCGAGGAGGTATTTGAAAAACGTCTCGAGGGGTAGTTGGTTTTCAGACTTCAGTTCTGAAGAGGCGATCTTAGTTTGAATTTCTGTAAATAGTATGATAAATGATAAGGTTTTAATGTAAATTAGTTGTAAAGGTTTCTTGACGCCGTAAAGTTAAGATAGTACTTCGAGGTACTAGAGTTTTAAAAGTTTATTCCGGTGTGTTTCATTCTAATAAATATTGTTTCTCACAAAACGAACTAGTCAATAAAGAACGACTATGGGAGATACAGGGTGATGTGGTCGTGGATTGGTAGTTTTGAGTTTAAGAATCCACATCCCTTCAAAAGTACGTACAAATTTGAAATGATCTGATAACTGCTTAATATTATTTATTATAATAATAAAAATATATTGGTCCTAGATTCAACGTGCAGATTTGTGACTAATTTTTTATGGATAAATTTATTATTAAATTGTACTATGATACGTATTTAACGAATTCACGAAAGCGCGACGTTCAGACTGAAGCGCTTATGTAACTATAGGCATTAAAAGTGGTACGTGCCCCTCAAAAACTTGACTTATTTTCTTATCATTTTTGTTATGCTGATTCGACAATAAGGGCACATCTACAAGAAATAAAAAACCCTTCACCAATGGTGGCGAGCAATTTTTTTCCTCCAACGTTTTAAAGTAGTGCATGAGAGGGCATGCGCTTGACTTATTTTCATATAGCTGGTTTTTGGTTTATTTTCAAGTTTTTGTAGAGTTTTTATAAAATTCACTTCTTCCATCATTTTCGATGGGCCATTTTCTCTCTCCAAAGTGTTAAAGTGGAGCGCATGAGTGGGCATACGAATTAATTGTTAGAATGTAGTAAGATACATGTCCCCAAGTATTTCACGAAAGCGCGGGGTTCAGACCAGAGCGCTTAGGTAGTTATAGGCATCACAAGTGGTACGGTCCTTTTGAAAACTGACTTATTTTCTTAACATTTTTATTATGCTCGTTCGACGATAAGTGCTCACCTACAGGAAATATTAAACTGCTTCAATAATCACAAAATTATAAATATTTAGAATTCGCATACAATAGCAATATAGTTTGATAGGTACATCTCGTTCATCACCGATCCATCAACGAACTAATTCGATTGCTTTGATTTTCGTATTTACGTTAATTTGTTATTTATTTTTGTATTGTGTAATGTACCGGAGATCTCTTAACATGTAAAAATAATAAGGTGTTTAAGATATTAATTTTAGTAATCATATTAAAGAAAAATTCCTCAAGAGAAGAGAAACGTACGTATTTTCTTCTATCAAATTAATAATGTAACTTTTCTAGCGTGAGAAATCATGCAAACATTACGGATGAACTCAAAGTATATCGACCTCTTTTTCACCTTCAAGCGAAGCTATAAATTTCTCTACGACTGTAGGACTGGATTTGATTTCCCAGTGGCGAGATATAGTATTCCAAAAGGACAATTTCTCTAAAGTTTGTGATGGATCTTAATTTACAATGTTGTATATTATCCGTATTTTTTCCAAATTTTAATTAAGTTTGTAGATGAATTTATGGGACAACTTTAATTACTGTACCTAAGTTTTCACTTTGAATTGATGTCTCAGTTTAGCCAAACTGCGTATACTCGTACTATGAGCTGCAGAAGTCAAGCAACTCTAGTGCTGGGTTATTAGAGGATGATTTATAGAAGCAGGAGTTATTGTTATGGTTAAAATAGATTAAAAACGTCTTATTAAATAATTTACTAAAATTGGAAGCTAGACAAGTTAAAATAGATCGGTCATATTTTCTTTAATTCTAAATTTTATGATAAAATAAATTCATCTCATCTAAAATATAGGTTAAGAGTTATTGCCCTCGACGCTCGAGTTTAGATTCAGGGGAAATTCACAGCAGGTATCTCCTTTAATGTTCCACCTCAAAATATAGAAACCACACATAACTAGCAATCGGCAGGCGTTAGACAAATATTGTTTTTAGGCAGACTTAGGATAATTTAGGAGAATTGTTGGATATGGGATTATTGTAGTAGTTAGTAGTGCTAATAGAAATTACTATTTTTAAATATAGTATATGGTGTTTGAGATTAAAAACTTCGGTAGAAAAAAAGATTGTCATTTTAAAAGAAAAAAGAAAAATAGCTGCTTTAATTTAAATAGGACAAAAAAAATAAATACTTTTAAAAATAAAATATGTAGGTACGATTAAAGTAATATACTGTTTTTCTCTCTAAATAAAAAATGTATATATTATTGTGTTCTTACATTTATTACAAAATCCAACAAATTCGTTTAGAGCAATAACTCTTTAGCACCAGGAAAAAATAACTGAAGGTAAAATTCCAGTTTTGCTGGATATGAATATTTCAATAAGTTTTTAATCTTCTTTCCCAGTACGACATAAAATAGTTTTAGACTTTATATATTTAAAAATAATTCTAATGCATAGGTAGAATTCTCCACTCCAGCCATTCACTGCTGGTTTCTAGTTAACTGTTCTATTCATAAAATGGTGCTGGAAAACAGTACCAAGGCCTGTATATAAGCGTGTATTAAAGTACTAACACCTACAATATGGAGTATTAGAATTCTAGTACTCCAGACTAATGGCTAAGTGGACAAAATATAAAACACCAATAAAAAAAATATTGTCTGGCAATACTAAATGAAATACAATTTATCTAGTATCTAGTATCTGAG